GTGGCGTGAGGTGGGGTGTGGCGTGAGGTGGGGTGTGGCGTGAGGTGGGGTGTGGCGTGAGTGTGGTTTACTATTAGAATGTTTCTTAATCGTCAATGATAGTTTCCTCTTCCTATGCATATTGGATGAATGCAAAATAAATATAACTGCCCAAGGAATGATTGCTTCATAAGAACGTTGGTTTTCTCTTACTGCCAGGCCGCCCATTAATATGGAAAAAAACAAACGAGGCCATCTGCGTAGAAGGGATTACAAGAACAGAAAATTTTCAAAATGTTTTTTACCCTTGCTGTAGCTCTAAAACTGAAAATATTTTCACAAAACTTGTGAAATGATTCCAATGTTTTATTAAATGCAGGTAGCATTAGTTCTATTATATAAATGTAATTTTATATATTTATATAAAGTTTCCTTGGTATTTTTCCTATTGCAATTTATTCTGGGAATCACAACTGACCCCCCTCCCCTGAGGTTCTCCAGGAACTGGAGTGTGGAGCGGCCCTGATTTGGGATTGGTATGCGACTGCTAAATTTGTGATCATTAGGCATTCATCTTCATCGTTACCATACATACCTGCGAATTCTCTGCCGAGTTGGTTCATCACCACAAGTGATATAGAGATTACCCAACTCCAACATATCTCGCCCATCTTTAACGATGAATGATACATCATTTTGAAGAGCAAAAGAAATTTTAATTATCTCATTTGATCCTGCTGCAATTACAGCTTTTGATGGTTTTATTGAAACACTGACACCTTGTAATAACGCTCCAACTCCTGTTGGAAGAAAATTATACGTTTTCATATAATTTTGTTCAGTAATATTTGGATTTTTTTGCTGAAATCATACCATGCATGTTTGTACAATACATTTCATATCTGGGATATTTCTAAACGAATTTCATTGAATATTAAATTAACCCATCAAAAACAATTATTTTACCAAAAACTGAAATATCATTTAGGGATTTATGTTAAAAACCACTGTTTAACACAAATCCTATCTTTGAAATATCACTCTTCCTCTTAGGAAGACATTGGGTGTTAAAGGAATCATTTGTTAAATACACAGTGAATAATGATGACAAAAACAAAGTTCCATTGCATTTTGCATTTTTTTTAATGTTTTAGGTAATAAACATCAAAGAAGGTTACCAAGCATTTCCTACATAATGTTCTAGACTTCTCAGAAAATTCTCCAATGCACACCTGACTCCCCTTGTCCTCCAATGAAGCCCCCACTGAAATTGAATTTGGTAATCAATTTTGAAGTTTCAAGTTGCAGGTTCACCAGACTCAGAACCAAAAAGTACTTCTGAGGCAGGTGGGATGGATTTCAGATCAGACGTCCAACCTCAAACTTTTTTATGTAATACAAAAAAAGTTAACTTGAAATAAGAGAGGTGTAGCCATCCATAATCTGAATATTCCATTGACTGTGTTTATGTGATAATTGTCTCAAAAACGTAGAGTAAAATTAGAAAATAACGTACAATTGAGAGGTGCCTATTTTACATGATAAATGTAGCTCTTTGCAAGTTTCAAACTCCTGAACATCATATTTATTTTTCTCGTAAAAATGGGTCAATTGCATTTTTCCTCATTTGCTCACATACTTTCCTGACTATCAAATCTTTGCTGATTTTCTTCATCCATTGATCTTCGATCAAAAAAATATTATTTCTCCACCCTTGATAAATTTGTAAACATAACTCGTGGAGATACAGAATGACATAAATTTTCTTGCTCTAGTTAGTTCTCTAATCTGCTGACTCTAGACTAACCTTTCAGTGTTGCTCTACCCTTTTCCCAGCTGCTACCTAACGACACCAAAAGATTTTTTCCCTTTTCTCCCTTTGTCAGTCTCTAATAGTAGAATTGAAATAGGTCGTTAAGAATAGACATGTAGGGATAAAACAGTCTTACATGCAAATTTTCATTGAAAAGTCATTCTTGAGAGTTGTTTCAGTGTTTCAGCAATATCGAGCTATTTTTCACAGAAACATTTTGAGTTTTTCAAGTAACTTCATTAGAAATAATTTGAAGCACTTGTGTTTACAGATGTAACAAGTACAAAATGTCTGTAATGTAAATAGTATTAACTATGCAAGAAATATTTTGAAAAAATTCTCTTTGTGCACGTGTTTGGAAAAGAAAGTGTCCATTAAAATGGTGCACATGTCATGTAATTCAGTGTATTTAGCAATATCTGTACAAAGGTTTTAAAGAAACAAAATTTGGAGTCATTTTGCAAAAATGTAGTTTGAGCTATTTTGAAAATGCATGCAAATGGCATTTATGCCTTGTTATTCAGTACATGAAGCACTAAACATACAAAAAGAGTAAAGAAGAAATTAAACTGAATTTAAGAAAATCTTGTTTTTAAAAGTACCCTTTTCACACAAAATTACTTGAAAACTGCTCAAATTTTGAAATTAACATCCATGTCCTCATTGAGATATCTAATTTTGAAGAATAGATTTTATCCTGAGGAAAAATGTGCAATACTTTAGTTATAGGTAGAAGCCAAACAAAGTTTGAACTTGCAATTTTTGAAAATTACGATAATGACACTGGGACCTGCACCATTATTTTAAAGCATCTTTATTGCTATCTGCAAACCAAGTTTAATCAACAAATTTGGAACAATTTTTGAGAAAAATTTGAAATTTCCTTGAGGTTTCATGTACATTACCCCCAAAAATTAAAACATAGGTTTCAAAATCAAGAGGCATCACCCACGTTGATTAAAGAATATAAATTTTGGTGAAAATTGCAAATGGTTTAGCTACTACCATTGTTCACAGCCAGATCGACAGATTTTTTGCCATAAACAAATTTTTTGATATCACGGTGGATCAAGCGTGGATTCTGACTACACCGTATGATAAAAGAAGTAATTTACAACAAACCTAACCTAACCTAACCTAACTAGTGGGGCTGCAAAAGCACATACTTTCTCGCAATGTTTCTAAAGACTCCTCACTATAAAATATTACATTGAACCATTGATTTGATGAGACATACGTTTTACAAATAGAACAAGAGACTTGTACACTTGTTTAAAATTTCAAAATACAAAAATTACATACAGACACTACGAATTTATCTAGAATCTTACCACATTGTATACGTGAGTAGAATAGCTTCTAATGATTTTCAATAAAGTTTCTGAAATTCTCAATAGATTTCTGCGGAAATAGAGAGTTGTGACAAATAAGTACCCCCAAACCACGCTTGAGCCAATTGTCGTCCCTTCGAAACGTTGAGTCCGAACTCCACATTTAACCACTTTGGCCACCAGGGTTATACAGAGAATCGGCACATCTACAAGTGATAAGTGACGAATAGATTTGTCAAGATGTTTTACATATCCAATAAGAATTGTGTAAAATTGCTAAGATGTTGAAAATTGGAAAATCACATACAGGCACTTCCAGTTTATTTATATTCATTATTAGTATTTGTGATTAGAATGGCTTCAAATGGTTTTCAATAAAGTTTCTGGAATTCTCAATTATTTTCTGCAGCAACAGAATTGTGACAAATAATATTCACTGACCAAGACTTCCGCGGACTTCCCCTCTGAAGAACTGAGTCAGTTAACACCAATTAACCACCTTAGTCAGGTAGTATGTGGATTTTACACTTGTATAATAGTAATAAGCGAATGGTGGTTTCAGTTCCAGCATTAGGATGCCGAAAAATCTAGAAAATGTGAAAAAAATTTCTTTTGGGTGACCAAAGACGGTATCTGAGAAGAGAATTATTCACGGACGGACGTTTTGCCATCAAACGATTTTTCGGTATGAAGAATACATAAAACATGAATTCTGGCTACACCATGAGGTAGAGGATATTTTTTCTAAATTTTGCCACAGGATTTATCTACTTCTTCATTACCAGAATTCAGCAAATAAGTTTTTTTCTCTCGTGAAATTTCGGCTTCTTCTGATGCACAATTACAGATTTTTCTCTTTTTAAGAAGAATTCATAAGGTGAGAAATTAAAAAAATGATCCACAACTTTTTTAGTACCACAGATCTACAATAGTGTGAGAATTCACTTCTTTTGGGACTTTCAATTATTTACTCATTCTTTATTTTGTAATACTGCATTGCTTTTATGGCTTTTGATAGTAACTTAACATTTTAATAATGTAGTTCTAAAGTATTAGGCTTCATTTACATCTGTGCATCTACATCCAATAAATCTACTTGGATCTGTACATTCATCAACATCCCTTAAATATTCTGTAAAACGTGGAGCATTTAGTAGCTCAAAAATGTTAGTGAGAGTTGACTATACATTTCTAAAAATGAAATATTTGACATTTCTTCAATTCTGAAAATTAATATAAAAAACAATGTACATAATAACTAACTCTAAGCATAATAACTTAAGTAAGCTAATTGGTAAACAGATCACAAAACAATCAAAAGTTTATGAAGTAGTTAATTCAAAATAATAACACTGGAATATAAATATACAAATATGTTCAAATTATTGGACTAAAGACATTTCTCGTAAAAGATTAGTATTTATTACACGTTTACAATCTTATACAAGTTATAGTCATACATTTAATACTTGCTGTTAGTGAGCATACCTGTGTTCTTAATCAATAACTTTATCCTGTTTGGCATAATGTTTACCAACTTTTCACCCGAGTTTTTAATTTCATCGTCACAGTTCTTGTATATTTCCTTATTCTTCTCTTGGTAATGCCCCCATACATTTTCTATGAAGTGCAAATCCGAGCTATCCTATGGCCATGGTACCACTTTAAATTGCTTTTCTTCCAAATTTTTGAAGACATTATTGTCTTTGTGACACTGTTTCATCATAGTGCCATTTTCATTAGGGAACCACTCTAATTTGGGGAAAAAGTTCCTTTTCAAGGATTTTTTTATTGGCATTGCCTCATTGTCCCTTCGAAAATGTGTAACCTGCCATGACCTTTCACATACATTACACTTACCAGTTTCTCTCTAAATATATCGTGGAACTTGGAAAAGACATGCTTTCGACCAATAATTTGAACACATCTGTAGTAACCTGCATACTTCTCTGGCAACACATACAGAAGAAACATGGACTCCTCATATTTGGCATTCGCTGAGCAGTGAGCAGCTACTTGCCCAATCCTGAGCAGCTGACATACTCTACAAATATTCACTTCTTCGATGCATCCAAAAGACACCCAATGGATAGGACGAGAACCGAATGTTCGTCAGTAGGCAAATTGCAAGCAGCCCATCCATTCTAATCTGGATTCAGCGAGCGGTTGCTTGGCACTCACTAAATACCACATGTGTGGAGCTGCCTTAATGAGTAAAATAACAAAAAAATAACTGCCAAATTAATGAATTGCACAAGTCTATTCTTGACATAGCATGACTCCTTGCTGGACATAAGAGCACCAGTGCCCAAGGTCCTCATTTGAGGAGAGAAATATATTAATGAATTATTAATGAATGCCAACAATAAGGATCACAAAAATACTTCTATTAAACAAAAATTGCCAGTTAAAAAACAAGAGAAGGAAAATCACTTAATTTTATATGTAAAACTATTATTTAAGAAATTAATATGATGAGTAATATGGTAAAATGCAACTCATCAGAAAGTCCCCTTTACAATGTCACCATTATCCATCTTCATTTAAACTTCAACAACTTGACAATTATAAAAATTCTTAAAATAAAATTGAAAATATTAATTCTTTATCAGATATAAAAATTGAATTGAATTGAATTGAATTAATGCCTTATTTTACGCGTCGAGACTCAGGCCATGAGGCCAGCTCTTCCACCTGACCACATAATTTTGCTATGCTCCTTTCACTAACTAACAGAGAAAGGAGGTATGTCTTAGATGATGAAATGGGCAATTTGAATTTTGCACAGAGGCGTCATTTAGGCTTAAGGATCTTTTACATGCAAGTAAATCTACTAACATGGGACAGCCAGCTTTACTTCCCCTCCGAAGGTAGGCGTACGGAGGATTTATTTTGCCCTTAAAAATCCACAGCTTCGATCAGGTTTGAACCTGCCAACTTGGGTACAACAGTCTGATATGCTAACCGTTACACCATCACTGCACTACTATCATACACATACTATCATACAGAAAAAGAGGTATTTTTTAAATTAAATTCAAAAAAAAATAATTTTTTTTTCATATAAAGTTTGGCTCTGTTGGGTTAAACTGAATGTACTCACAATAACAGACTCAAGATAAAAGTTTGTACATTGAATTTGTGTTTGTCTTTCTTCTGATGCTGCCTAAGAACATTCCCTTCTGAACCCATTTTCTTCTTGTTTTGTCTTGTTTGAGACTAGTGATTCTTCAAGTTCTTTCACACAAAATACTTGAAATTCTAATTGTTTAATTTTCACATGAACTGGTAGTGAACTGTGAACTTGCTCATATCCTGTACATGTAGGCTCAGAGTCTGTCCTTGCCAAAGGGCTCAATTTCGCGGCTGCACCCAAGGATATTCCCACTGCGGACAT